AACAATGCCCCCATTTCATAGCAGAGTGCCTGGATTTGAGTCTCCACCATTCTTCTGATTCCAGCTTCCTGCTAATGTGCACCCTTAGAGGCAACAGTGAAGGTTCAAGTGGGCAATGCCACCCACATGGGAGTTTTGCAACAAGTTTTGTGCCAGTCCTGGCTAATGTGAACATTTAGGGAATGAATCAGTGGATGGAAGATTTCACTCTCCATTTCCATATCTCCATCCCCATCTTTCAAGTAAATAATGTGTTTTTTACTTTAAAATCAAAATTAAATTAATCAAAACTTTAATTTAAAAAAACCAATACCAATTCTTCTCAAGGTATTCCGAAGTACTGAAAGGGAGGAACCCCTGCCAAACTTATTCTACAAAGCCAATATCAGCCAATTAAAAACCAGACAAGGATACATTAGAAAAAGAAAACAGCACATTAAGAAGATTATACACCATGGTCAAGTAGGGCTTGTCTCAAAAATGTAAGGATGATGATTCAACACACACAAGTAAATAATATATCACATCAAACAAAAAAAGAGATAAAAAACTGTATTATGGCATAGGCATTGTAGTGCAGTGGGTTAAGCCACACTTAGAAGCCCTGCACCCCATACTGTAGTACCTGTGATCAAGTTGTACCTCCTCTTCTGATCCAGCATCCTGGTAATACCACCTGGGAGGCAGCAGGTGATGGCCAAAGTACTTGGGTTCCCATTACCCATGTGGGAAATCTGGATAGAACTCCTAGCTCTTGGCTTTGGCCTAACCTCGCCCTAACTATTTCAGAGATTTAGGGCATGAACCAGTGGATGGAAGGTCTTTGTCTTTCTCATTTTCTCTCTCATTATCATTCTGCCTTTCAAATAAATAAAACTTTTTAAAAACATGCATTATCAAACAGATGTACAGAAAGCATTTGATAAAGGTATCGCTTCATGATAAGAAGCCCTAAAATATTAGGTTTATAAGGAATGTACCTCAACACAGTGAAGGCTATTTATAACAAAACCAACAGCCTCCATCAAATTGAATGGGGGAAAAGTTGAAATTACCTCCAAGATCACGAACAAGAAAAAGATGCTTTCATCACTCTTATTCTATATAGCTCAGAAACTCTTAGCCAGAGCAATAAGGCAAGAGAAAAAAAAATGAAGGGCATACAAACAGAAAAAGAGGAGGTCAAATTATTCCTTTTTGCAGATAACATGATTTTATATCTATATAAACATAAAGCCTTCACTAAAAAAAAAAAATGCTGTTAGAACTGACAAAACACATTTAGTATGGCTGCAAGACACAAAAATCAACATATAAAAATCAATAGGTATTTTTTAAAGATTTATTTATTTATTTAAAAGGCAGAGTCACAGAGAGGCAGAGAAAGAGAGGTCTTCCATCCACTGGTTCACTCCCCAGACGACCACAATGGCTGAGCTGCACCAATCCAAAGCCAGGAGCCAGGAGACCTCCTCCAGGTCTCCCACGTGGGTGCAGGGGCCCAAGGACTTGGGCCACCCTCCACTGTTTTCACAAGCCATAGCAGAAAGCCAGGACTTGAACTGTACCCATATGGGATAGGATTAATCTACTGCACCACAGTGCCAGCCCCCGAAAATCAATAACTTTTTTTATACACCAAAAATAAAAATGCTGAGAAAGAAATCAAGAAGTAATTCCCATTCACAATAGCTAGGGGAAAAAATACCTTATATTTAAGCCAAGGAAATGAATGATCCCTACAATGAAAATTGATGAAAGGAACTGAAAAAGATACAAAATAATGGAAAGACAACCCAAGTTCATGGATTGAAAGAGCTGATATTGTTAAAATATCCACAACAGTCAAAGTGATCTATAGATTCAATGCAATTCCTATCAAAAACTTATGACATTTATCAAAGAAATATAGGGGCCGGGTTGTGGTGTAGCAAGTAAAGACATCGCCTGCAGTGCTACCATCCCATATGGGCACTGGTTTGATTCCCGGATGTTCCACTTCCAATCCAGCTCTCTGCTATGGCCTGGGAAAGCAGTCAAAATGATCAAAGTCTCTGGGCCCCTGCACCTGCATGAGAAACCCAGCAGAAGCTCCTGGCTCCTGGCTTCAAATAGGCATAGCTCTGGCCATTGCAGCCTTCTGGAGAGTGAACCAGCAGATGGAAGACCTCTCTCTCTCTCTCTCCCTCTCTCTGCCTCTGCCTCTGCCTCTCTGTAACTCTGCCTTTCAAGTAAAAAATAAATGAATATTTTTTAAAAAATGTATAAAAGCACTCCTAAAATCTGTATGGAACTACAAAAGACCCCAAATAGCCAAAGCAATTCTGAGCAAAGAAGAACAAACTGGAAGCATTAAAATACCTGACTTTAAAACATACTAACAAGCTACAGTAACCAAAACAGCATAGTACTACCATTAAAGCAGACACATGGAGTGGGTGTTTAGTCTAGTGATTAAGACACAGGTTGAGACACTCACATCCTGTACTGCAATGCCTCAATTTGAGTCTTGACTCTGCTTCAGATTCTAGCTTCTCGCAATGCAGACTCTGGGAGGCAGCAGGTGATGGCTCAAGTACTTGGGTCCCTGCTACCCACATGGGAGACCCAGAATTAATTCCAGGCTCCTGCCTTCAGCCTGCTCCAGCACTGGCTGCTGTGGGTATTTGAGGAGAGAACCAGTAATTGAACGATCTCTCTGTGCCTCTCAAATAAGACTTTAAAAATAAGGTGGGAGGGGTAATAATCATCATTGTATTTAAGACACCACAAACCTCAACTCTTACAAATCTTAGTAAATCTGCTTAAACCAAAAATTATGTGACACATAGAAGTCTAGTGCTGGCCCTAAGATTTCTGCTAGCTTACAGCTTTAGCATTCATGGTTGTTTTTACTTCTAGATCCTGCAATGATAAGTGTTATTTTTTGCTCCAAATGCCAAATTTCATCTTTTTCGAAAAGAATTCCTCTTAAGCATTTCTTGATCACAGCTAAATTTACTGAAGTTTAGGGGATGTTACTAGGAAATTCTCAAGGTATATTCTGCTTCCCATACCATTCTGGCTCTCTCTCCCTTCTTCCTTCCTGCCCTACACCTTTCTCCTTCCTCCAGGTCCAGAAGAGAAGAGTATTCTATTTGTCTCATTTGTAGTTTTTGCATCAATTATATTTCATCTCTTGAACTGAGGAACCCTAAGAACCTATTGTAAGTTTTCAAAAAATATATAATGCCATGCCTAAAAGGAATCTAAAAGCTTTTTCCCAAAATTGTTCTACCATTATTATTTAGAACACTTATATGTATCAGACACATAACTAAAACCTATGATACAAGTATCATTAATACTTGGTGAGATAACATAACTTGTTTAAAATAACAACTAAAAAGTAAAAAAAAAAAAAAAAAAAAAAGCCAAAATTTAAACCCAGATATGCCTGACCTCAAAGCTCATACTCCTCACCATACTGTTGCCTGTTTAAAATATGACCTAGCTAGAATAGCATTTAAGATTCTCTTCCATAATTTGCTCCTTGTTCTGAACTACCTCCCACCACAACTAAACTTGAGGGAAAACTCAATACACACAAATGTTCTCCCTGAATACCTCCTGCTCCCCCTCCCCCCTCCCCCTCCCTCTATTTCCTAAATGTGATCTCTAATATCTCAGCTATTGCTTTCATCATACTGCTCCATTCACCTGTTTTATCTACCAACTTCTTCCTCATCCTCCAAGATTATTGTGATAACTCAAAGGGTTAATATATGTAAATTACTTAGAATACTGCTTGGCACATTACAAATGCTCAATGTTAACTGTTACTATTGCTATTAAAAGTCATTTACAAGGTTTTAGAAAATTGCTGTTAAATGATAGACTAAAATAATCAGCCAAAAATGAGTAAAATCTTAATAGCATACTCTCATGCTTATTTACTCTCTCTCTCACTCAAAACACAACACACTCAAACACATAAAACCAAGCCAAGAAATACAATAAAAAGAACATTAGTATTAGAGACTAATGTTGGTTTAAATTTCATCTTAGCCAGCATGTAACTTTGAACAAATTATTAAACTTCTCTAACCTCCTACTTTCATGTTCGTAAGACACTTGGGTCCACCTCTTGTAAATTTTTTGTGAGAATCCAAGATATTTCCCAAAATCTAGGCAAGATGCCTGGCACTCCTTAAGTGGCATTAATTAAGATAAAATATAAGGGGTGGGCACTGTGGCATAGGTTAAGCCACCACCTGCAGCACTGGCATCCCATATGGGCGCCAGTTGGAGTCCCAGCTACTCTACTTCTAATCCATCTCCCTGCTAATGTGCCTGGGAAAGCAGTGGAAGATGGCTCAAGTCCTTGGACCCCTGACCCATGTGGGAAACCTGGAAGAAGCTCCTGGTTCCTGGCTTCAGATAGATCCAGCTCCGCCCATTGTGGCCATTGGGGGAATGAACCAGTGGATGTAAGATCAATCTCTCTCTCTCTCTCCTCTCTCTCCTCTGCTCTCCTTCTCTGTAACTCTGCTTTTCAAGTGAAATAAATAAGCCTTAAAAAAAAAGCTTTGATATGTATATATATATATATAGGGCCTTAAATTATTAAAAAAAGATAAAAGAATTATTGAAAGGATGAGTATATTCAGAAATTCAGAGACATCCTAAGAACTGGAAGATTTATCATTTTAGGTCAACTAAGGGATATTTTCATTATTATCACATACTTTAAAGAGCTTGATAAGGAATATTAAAAATTTATTTAAATAATATCTACTTAGAACTCATACTATAAGTCCAGAACTAAGAGATAGAGCAAAAGATAATACGATCCTTATCTCAAGGATTTCATATGAAATTCAAGCCATATTATGATGTGATATAAAATACAGATTTTTTTAACATAAATGTGCCAAAAATAAATTGATCTGGAAATAACAAAAAGCTACACAATGAATTTCCACAAAGATTTTTAAATGGTTTACAAATTTAGCACTTACCTTCATATTTAAAATGATAACATTTTCCAAGCAATAAAACAGGGGAATTTCTACTAAAATATGTCTTTGTTTTTAGCACCCAACCTAAACAACAAAAAAAAGAAAATTTTGCAATTAAAAGATTTCAGACAAAAGTCTAGCAACATTTTCTTTTATTTAATTTCAAACCATCAATTATCATTTACAGATATGTATTTTTTACAAAAGTTGCAAAATATTTGGACAATGAACCAAAAATATAAGCCATTTATGCTACTTTCAAAAATATTTTGAAATATTTTAACTGTATTCCATCCAATTAAAAAACACAAGAAAAAAGTTCTCTTAACTTACTTTCATATAGGTCGCAATATTCTTATACTACAAAATTCTAAAATTAAAATATTACTCCAGTTTCTCTGATACCAAATTCTTGTCCCAAAGACAAAAACTATTACCAATGTTCTGTTTTTGTTCTACCTTAGATAATTAAGACCTAAAGTATTTGAATATTTGAGTAATTTAGGAAAAAGATCACACAGTAGATGACCGTTCTTGATAAAAGTGGATCTCTGAAGGTTCCTAGGGAACCTCATCATTTTGGTCAAATGAGGCTGTCTGAAAGTGGTGTATAAGCTTTCAGACATCATTAACTCAGTTTTCTACAACCCAACTCTTAACTCCAACTTTTGCTGCATGTTCTTAATTCTTTCAATTTTCTTCCTACTAAATTGTCAGAATCTAAAAGGTAATGTCCTTTTTGACTTTTCATGATGCTATTACAGATCTGAATTTCCTGAGAAAAGCATGCACCCACTACATTCCTCAATAATCCCAAGTCTATGAAATTCTGACTGCTAATGGTAAAAGCAGCTAAAATACAAGAGCATATAAACAGAATCTGAAATGTGGAGTCAACAGACCTGGGTCTAGTCTTCAGCAGACTATTTGCCCTTTACATTAAACAGAGTTGTTGAGAAATTTAAAAGGAGTGATTTTTTTAATGAAAGTACTCCTGAAAAGTACTGTACAAATAAATAAAAATATAATACATCAATGTAAGATGATGCAAGGCTCTGAATTTGGTGCTGAGAGAGAATGGGAGGGCATCATTGAGTTCCACCTGGATTACCGTAACACTCTCCAAAACAGCTTCTCGGCAGGCAGTCTTTTCCCCATTTTAGCAAATGTTACATATGGCTTCCAAAATAATCTGCTTGTGCCTTAGCTTTGATGAAGAAATTTCTCCAAAACAACCTTCAGTTACTTGTTACGTAACAATTTTTTTTTACAATTTATTTATTTATCTGAAAATCAGAGTTACATAGAGAGAGGAGAGGCAAAGAGAGAGAGAGAAATCTTCCATCTGCTGGTTCACTCTCCAGTTGGCCACAATGGCCGGAGCTGCGCTGATCTGAAGCCAGGAGCCAGGAGATTCTTCCAGTTCTCTCACATGGGTGCAGGGGCCCAAGGACTTGGGCCATCTTCTACTGCTTTCCCAGTCCATAGCAGAGAGCTGGATCAGAAGTGGAGTGGCCGGGACTCCAATTGACACCCTTATGGGATGCCAGCACTGGAGGCAGTGACTTTACCTGTTACGCCACAACACAGGCCCCCATAACAGATTTACTACCAACTTCTTAGTCTCATTAAAGACTTGCCACAATGTGACACACATTATCTCTAGAACCCACTGACTTTGAGCTACACTCAGAAGGTTACTTGGCTCATGCTATTCCAACAAAGATTTTCTCCCTGGGGCAGATGTTTGGCTCTGCTAAGCTATGTTTTCTCCTTTCCCACCTGGATTGGATTCTCTAAATTACAATGGGAAACTAAGATTTTCCTATTGTATACCAGGAAGTAGGCTAGCTTTTTTTTTTTTTTTTCTTACTTCACCCAGTTCTGTAGGTTGACTGGGATAACTGGGTTGTCCTCTCATGAGATTTGCTTGGAGTCCCTTTTGTAGCAGAAATCAGAGAAGTTCAAGTGGGACACTGAGTCAGCTGCTCCCTCTCATGCAGTTCCCCAGAACTTCCTCTAGGCTAAAGCTTTACATGTGTTTTCTTTTAGTAACACTATTAGTGTCTTACTGAAATGATTCTAATATCCAAAAAAGCATATCCAAAGCAAATCTTAAGAACTTAAAAAAAGAAAAAGTTCAAAGAAACAAACTCTCAGGGAGCAATGCCTGCCTTTCTCCCTATGCTTTACCATTCTCCTTCTCTCTCTAACCCATCACCCACCAGTCCCTCCTCAAGAAAAGAAAAGTGAATCTGGTCAGAGCCTGAAGCACTCTGAGTCCACATACCACAGGCTTACAGCGATCTAAAGGTCGGCCATCAGTCATGTGGTACATATCTCTCTTACTCTTCTATTTCTTGTACAAACCTTGGCAGGGCCGCATCCTTCAAATCAAACTGACTTCCTTTGGTCCTCCGTGAAGCTAGGTGCATAAGAGGACTCAGGACTTCTCATAAGGCATAGCCTTTTCCTCTCTTCCCACAGCCATGTGAGAGTTGAATCACACCAACCTACCAAAATACTAATCTACTTTTTACTTTCAATTATTTAGTTTTAGGTGGCCTGTTTTCATTTTATCTTTATAAAAGCATTATTAGAATTTTACTACTTATCTCTACCACAGCTTATTCATGCTGAATCAGGATACTATATAGCACAGAGAGGGGAAAACACAGAGTATCTAATAAATAACACCATAGACTAAATAACAGAGCCTGGGGCACAGGAAAAACCCATGAACAAGAAATATCCTTGTGAATACTTCAATATATGTAAGTTCCTCTTATACACATAAAAATATACTCAACAGAATTCTTCATATTCAGGAAAATAAAGAAATTATTCTGTTCCTTAATCTCCCCCCTTCACCTAGTCTCTGTATGTAGATATAGAAAAGGGAGGTGGACCTGTCAAATTAAATGCTGTAATTTCTAAATGAAAACTAATCAAATAAAACTAAACAAGAAAGCAAGTTCATTTAGCGAATTGGACCTTTGCAGACCAGCCATCCAATAAATTGATGCATAGTAGTGATTGCCCACAAGAGCTAGAAAATGACCAAAAGGAAGCATGATGAAGCTTTCTGGTATAAAGGAAATTTTCTATATGTTGATTGGATTGTTCATGTTTCAAACTCTAAAGAATGCTACTTAAGATCTACTCATTTTACTTGATGTTAATTTTCCCTCAGTTAACATAAAAATGCTTAGAAATAAATTTGGACAGTATTTTAGTTATCTATTCCTTTTTTTTTTAAGATTGATTTTATTTATTTCACTGAGCACCATCTTTGGAAAGACAGTTACAGAGAGAGGTAGAGACAGAGAGAGGTCTTCCATCCACTGGTTCACTCCCCAGAGGGCCGCAACAGCCAGAGCTGCGCTGATCCGAAGCCAGGAACCAAGAGCTTCTTCCGGGTCTCCCACACGGGTGCAGGGGCCCAAGAACTTGGGCCATCTTCTACTGCTTTCCCAGGCCACAGCAGAAAGCTGGATCAGAAGAGGAGCAGCCAGGACTGGAACCGGTGCCGATATGGGATGCCAGCGCTTCAGGCCAGGGTGTTAACCTGCTGTACCACAGCACCAGCCCCTATCTATTCCTTCTTAACAAACCACTCCAAACTTAGTAATTTACAACAGCATTTTTTTTTCTTACTTCACCCAGTTCTGTGAGTTGACTGGGATTAACTGGGTTGTCCTCTCATGAGATTTGCTTGGAGTCCCTAATGTAGCAGAAATCAGAGAAGTTCAAGTGGGACATTGAGTCAGCTGATCCTTCTCATGTAGTTCCCCAGAATTTCCTCTTCATAAGGTTTCTCCACGTGATTTCTCCAGTATAGGATCAGAAGTGATTACATGCCAGTTCAGAGCTCCAAAATAGAGCAAGCAGAAGTCACCTGTTAAACTGGTAGGCATGGAATTGACACAGCATCACTTCTATTTCACTCTACCAGTTAATGTGAGGCATAGTCAGCCCGGATTCAATGGGAGAAGAGATAATACAAGGTGCAGTTCACTGAGCACCATCTTTGGAGATTAGCTATCACAAACAGAATCTCACACACTCAAAAAAAAAAAAAAACAAAACAAAACAGTCTATTAAGTCAACAATTTGAAATCAGAACTAAGATTCCAAAAATGAAAATAAAAAGTATTGAAATAAAGATAATAATGATTTTCTAGAATAACCAAACAAGGGTGATTTACTTACTATCTTTTTAAAAAGGAAGTTAAGTTTATACATATCATAAAGTCATGCAAACAAAGGTGAAAGGGGGAAAGTAGAAGTAAAGACTTTCTCAAAAAAGGTTCAATTTTATATCTTAACTGTTGAGCCATTTCTAGTTCCACTGTGATCATAACAAAGTCCTGATCTCGACTGAAATAATCCTAAATTATTTACAGTATATTCAGAGAATAGATTGGGAAACAAGTGAGGATGGGTATAGATTCAACTTTGAACATGTCACTTAATTTCAGTTTCCTAATTTATAAAAAATGAATATCAATACCTATCTCAGGGAGATAAGAAATTTAAATGAGGACATAAATTATTTACTACAAAGCCTAGTGGACAGTGGGCAATCAACATTAGTCTGGGGCCGGCACCGTAGCGCAGTAGGTTAATCCTCCACCTGCGGCACTGGCATCCCATATGGGTGCCAGTTCTAGTCCCGGCTGCTCCTCTTCCAATCTAGCTCTCTGCTGTAGCCTGGGAAAGCAGTAGAAAATGGCCCAAGTGCTTGGGCCCCTGCACCCATGTGGAAGACCCAGAAGAAGCTTCTGGCTCCTGGTTTCAGATCGGCGCAGCTATAGACATTGCGGCCATTTGGGGAGTGAAGCAGCAGATGGAAGACCTTTCTCTCTCTCCCTTCTCACTGTCTTTAACTCTCAAATAAATAAATAAAATCTTAAAAAAAAATTAGTCCTTCCACACCATAAAAACTCTAAGGAAGGAAATAAATAAAACATTTTAGAATGATTTTCACCAATGAAAATCAAAATAAAATACTACTCTGTAACATAAAGCTATCTAGAACACTTAAGTACCTTGAACAATCTGTTCTTCAAAGATGTGACATTATCATAACTTTATTATGCACATTTAAATATCTAAATACAGAAGGCTATACATTATTAAAGCTATTATATATATAAACATGTGTTTGGGTTAAATAATAATTCCTAGGATGCAAATGAAATGTATTATTGAGTACTTGTACAACAATTTTCAGACCTTACTAATGAAATCTTCATCATATAACCTATTCATAGATTAAAGCACTTCAAAAGCATATAAGTCTGTATTTGAAGACTTCATAATCTTCTATGCAAAAATACAAAGAATTTCCAAGAAACTATTACCATTCATAAGGGAGTACATCAGAGTTATAGGATATAAGATCAAATTTTTCAAATTTGGATTTTTATACACTAGCAATAAATAATCCAAAATGAAATTAAGAATACATTTTACAATAATATCAAAAAGGACAGAGATACCTTTAGCAAAAGAAGTGTAAAACTTATACATTGAAGACTACAAAACATCATTGAACAAAATTTTGAAAGACCTAAGTAAATGGAAAGACATACATATCTATGGACTGAAAGACTTAATACTGTTAGTACTACAATATATTCTAATTTGACCTACAGTTTCAATGAACACCCCTATCAAAATCCCAGCTGGATTTCTTATAGAAATTTACAAGATGATCATAAAATTCATACAGAAATGTGAGGGATTCAGAATAAGCAAAATCATCTTAAAAAAGAACAAAGTTGGAAGATTCACTCTTTAATTCCAAATTTTACTCCAAAGCTACAGTAATCTAGACCATGCTACACTGGAATAAGGACAGACATACAAATAAATGGAATAGAATTAATAGTCCAGGAATAAACACATACATCTATAGCCGACTGGCTTTTATACAAAACTATCAAAATCATTCAGTGGAGAAACAGCACTCTTTTCAACAAATAATGCTGGGACAACTAGATAGTCACATACAAATAATTAAAGTCAGATTCCTATTTCATATCATATGTAAAAATTAATTTAAAATTAATCAAAGACATAAATGTATGAGCTAAAAAAAAATACAATTCCCAGAAGGAAAGGTAGGTACAAACTTTTATGATCTTGATTTAGGCATTTTTTTATTATGACATCAACACAAGTAACCAAATAAAAAATAGTTAAATTGTACTTCACCAAAATTAGTGCTTCAATGGACACTATCAAGAAAGTGAAAAGTAATCTCAAAAATGGGAGAAAATATTTGAAAATCATATATTTTCTAAGGGACTTATATCTAGCATATATAAATAACTCTCCCAACTCATTCAGAAAAAGATAAAGCAGGTGAATATAAATTTCTCCAAAGAAAATATAGGAATGGCCAGTAAGGACCTGAAAAGATGTTCAACATCATTAGTTACCAGGAAAATGCATATCAAATCCACAATGTGATATCTCGTCACATCTACTACAGTAGCTCTAATAAAAAGGATGGGTAATAACAGGTGTTAATGAGGATATAGCTAAATTTAAAACCTCTAACATAGCTGGTGGAAATGTAAAATGATACAGCTACTTTAGAGAACAACCTACAGTTTCTCAAAAACTCAAACTTAAGAGTTAACATATGGCTTAGTATTTCCACTCCTAGCTACAGACCCAAGAAAATTAAGAGTTCACACAAAAATTTGTATGTGAATGTTCACAGCAACATTATAGCCAAAAAGTAAAAACAACTCAAATATTTATCGACTCATAAATGATAAAAAGGAGGGTATAGCCATAAAAGGAAATGTTATTCATTCATATAAAAAAATAACTAAGTACATACTACAAGAATGAACCTTGAAAATACTATACTAAGTGACAGAGGCCAGACACAAAAGGCCACATATAAATTTCATTCATATGGCATGTCTAGAAGAGTTAAATCCAGAGACAAAAAGTGGATTTAGTGATTTTTAGAGATGGAGAGATAAAGGAAATAGGAAGCCACTGCTAATGGGTACAGGGCTGCTTCTGCAGATAATGAAAACATTCTGGAATTAGTGATGACAGTTGCACAGAAGTGTGAATATATATATATACACATATAACTATATATATTTATATGTATGTACTACATATTATATATTATAAATTATATATTATAGATTATATTATATATTTTACTATTTATTATATATAAATATATATTTGTGTTATATAATATTACATACTATATACATTTCATTACATATTATATATTTTATTATATATTTATAATATATATAATCTAATATAATGATGTTTCTACATAATATAAATATATAATACATATAATTATATATAAAATATTTATTATAATATAGTGTTATTGTATATTATTATAATCTTATATAATCTATGGTATATAATAATTATATAATACATAATTATGTATTATATTGTTATATATAATATATAATGTATGGTCATGCTTATAATGTTATCTATTATATTATATATGCTATATAGTATATATTAATACTATATATTCTATATACTATATAATATATACTGATATAATATATAGCATTATATATACTAATATATAGCATATGTAATATATATAAGTATATATGTATTGAATTTTTATTTATTTATTTGAAAATCAGAGTTGTAGAGAAGGAGAGCCAGAGACAAAGAGAGAGACAGTCAAAGAGGGAGAGAGAGATCTTCCACCTGCTGGTTCATTCCCCAAATGGCTACAATAGCCAGGGCTGTGCCAGGCTGAAGCCAGGAGCTTCTTCTGGGGTCTCCTATGTGGGTGCAGGGGCTCAAGTACTTGGGCCATCTTCTGTTGCTTTCCCAGGTGCATTAGCAGGGAGCTGGATTGGAAGTGGAAGTTGGAGCTGGACTCCAACCAGTGCCCAAATGGGATGCCGACACCGTAGGTAAGGCTTAACCTTCTTCGCCACAGTATGGCCTCCAGTGTGGATATAGTAAAAAACACTAAGTTATATACGTTTTTAAATTGACAATGAAATTTTTAAAATGTATGTTTTAGAAAGATGTCTTTTATAGTGTGTGAAATATATCTTAATTAAAAAAATAATGTTCACAATTTTCAAAATACAATGTCATATTATAGCCAAATTATAGCTCACTACATAGCCAGCTGGCCATGACTTCCAGTGGACCAGGAGCCAAGTGCCAATTATGCTTACCTGGATTCGCATTATTAAAGGCTTTTACTGAATTTTGTTATCATTCCCATTTTTAACAAATATGAACTTCCTGTTGAAATGAGTTCTGCCCAAGTACTTTTCAATCTTTGAGGGTTTCTTTATCTCCAATTTGTTTTCAGCCTGAAGTGAGTTTCAAAAAAAAAAATCACCATATAATCCTCACTAGATTTGTTGGCAAATCAAAAGGAACTAGATTAAAAATAAGAGACCAGGCAGAGTTTGGTCTAAAGGTTAAGACACTGGTTAGGATGCCCATGTCTCTAGGTTCAATCCCTGTCTACAACTTGTGATTCCAGTTTCTCCCTAATGCAGACCCTGGGAGGCAGCAGTGATGGCTCAAGTAATTAGGTTCCTGCTATCCACATGGAAGACATGGATCAAGTTCCTGACTCTAGGTTTTGGCCCAGTTCCGTCTGGAGAGTGAATCAGTAAATGGGAGTTCACATTCACACTCTTTCTGTATGTCTCTTCCTCTTCCTTTCTCCCTCTCTCCCTCCCCCCCTCCCTCTGTGTGTGTGTGTGTGTGTGTGTGTGTGTGTCCATCTGCCTCTCAAATAAATGAATAAATATATGAACCTGAGGGTATATCTAAGAGAAAAGTCAGAGGTGTCTGCATAAACTTTATACCTTCTATTTTCTATGTTCAAAAGTCTATTTTGCTCACTTCGTAGTTCAAATATAAGGCTGACTGTAAATGAATTTGAAGAGTTGAGGTGGTATCATCACCTGAATAAATTCTATTTGCTTTAGAATGTTTAAAAAAAAGAAAAGTACATGAGCCAGAAGACATCAATATGCTCTCTCAAACTAAAAAACAAAAAAGTACCACCCAGTATGCTTGGTTTTCAAAGCAATCTTTATGATGATATTTAGCTCTTTCTTCAGAAGATATTCTTATCTACAGTCCTTACAGAAATATTTCAAACTAAAGCACTGCATTTGTTGTCAGTTACTTAGAAAAGATAATATATATCTTCAAATATTTCTTCAGATTTATGCAATTTTTAAATCACTGTACTTACTATATTTCATGTTGTTCCAAGCAGATATAAATTTAGTTTTCAGTTTATCAACTTCATCTGATCCTGTGGCCTCCATATTCAAATTCTAAAGAAAAAGCCATCACTTGATTGCATTCTTCTGTAGAATTTAATCTTTTGTACTGACCTTTAAAAAAATAAAGACAAAGGCAAATCAGACATATGAGGTGTACCACACTGCTAAAGTCACTTAAATGATTAAATATGAATTTGAACTGGAAATGAGCAAACTAACTTCTTAGAATCAGAAAACAGAATACTAACTTTATAGATATTAATCTCACAGAGTAAGACACTCTAAATATTTTTAATTACAAGAAACTTTCACTACCAAATAAATATGTAACAATAAAATTATCCCACAAAACCAACCAACCCCCCAAGGCTCACAATTGAATATACTAAGTCACCTAAGTAAGAACATCTAAGATTTGTTTTATTTGTAATTAGAGAAGGTGATGTAAAATATTATAAAAAAATGTTGACTATCTTTAGAATGGAGAGTACCACTTGTATCAAGTCACTACTTTCGTATAAAGTCTAGCTGGATTTTATTTTCGAAATTAAGACATTTCCTACTGTTCCATCCTATCTCAATACTGCAGCACTTTTTTCAAAACAAAATGGCTTACATTTGCAACTGAAAATGTTTTTTCTTACTTTAAAATAATAAATGTAAATAATAAAAATGTATATTATTAAAATGAACATTTGTTTCATAACTGACTTGTGTGAAAATTGAGATATATGATATAAATTGAAAAGAGGAAATTATAACTGAAAATGCTTGTACTTATTTGCAATGATTCACAGTTTACATCTTAAGAAAAGAATGCTGCATAGCACATTACCTTTTCAGGGTTATAAATATCTATTCAAAGATTTCACTTTTTAACAATAGATATTCCATTTTATAATATATATGGAAAGCTACTAATTATCTATGATAGTTCTGAGGTAGGATAAAACATGATATTAGAAGAATTTAAAAAGACATGACTAGAGTTACAGAAAGTCCAAAAGGGTAGCACAAGATGCTGCTATACAGTTAGACGGGGGCCAGAGCTCACAGGATCCTGTATACTCAAGTTAAGAATTTTGTTCTTTATCCTAAAAGCAATTGGTTTCAAACAGGAATATCAGAGCCGCATTCTGTGGGAGTTTTTTGCTTGTTTTACTCTAATAGCACTATGACAAACAGACTGAAAGAGGACAGGAGTAGATAGAGTTTACCACAATCGTACAGAACTAGCAGAGACGACAGTAACTAGGACCGGAGCAGCGGAAACAGAGAGAATCGGATGGATGAAGAAATGTGTCAGAAATGCACTAAATCTTGGTGATACAATGAATGTGGAAGGTGAGGAACAAGAATGTATGAAAGATACACCAGGCTTCTGGCTGTGAAACTAAACAGTTGGTGCCTATCATTGAAATAAGGAACATTAGGAGAAGGGCAAGTTAGAGAGAGATCATGAATTTAAGATATTCAGCATATGACACATCTCAGAGAAGCAGGCAGAAAAGTATACACTTGTTTAATTATTCAGTAAGTTATTGCCAGGCACTGTCATGCAGCAGAGAACAAAGGCAATGACATTCCTGTTCTCATACAGCTTATGTTCTAGACAAATAGGAAATATTAATTAGGCAGCTGGATATATGAATGTAGATGTGGAGCTCAAAGGAGAGGTCTGAGTTTGAGATACTAATTTAAGAACTGCTGACATACAACTGATAATTAGTTATAAATCTGTTCCACAAGGACGGTGCAGCATTCATGTTTGTACCTCCAGCACTTAGCACAAAGCCTTGGTACTTCAGGATGCTATTTTAGGCTCTTAATGAAGTAACTTGGGCCTACTTAGCTTCCTCTTTGGCCACTCCCTCACATTGCCATATGCTAAAACTACTTTTAATATTAATATTAAAGCTTCCTGAACTTCCAGGAGCTATCCCATACCTCCATGCCTTTGTACATGCTGTTCCCGCGACTTCAAACACCTTCCTGCTCACTCTCACTGCATGACTATCTTACTGTCCCTAAGACCCTGCTTAAGTTTCGCCTCCTGCAATATGATTGGTAAGACTTCCCTGACTACCTCCCCTAACCTCAAAATGAGGCTTAGTTCTCAGAACATATGTCTTCATTTATCACAGCATGTATCACACTGTACTATAATTACTTGTTTTCTAAACTCAGTATTAAAATATTTACTCTCTTTAAATTCTGCCTAGCATGTGAGTAGTTCACAAAAATATTTATTAAATGGGCCGGCGCCGCGGCTCACTAGGCTAATCCTCCGCCTTGCGGCGCTGGCACACCAGGTTCTAGTCCCAGTCGGGGCGCCAGATTCTGTCTCAGTTGCCCCTCTTCCAGGCCAGCCCTCTGCTGTGGCCAGGGAGTGCAGGATGGCCCAAGTGCTTGGGCCCTGCACCCGCATGGGAGACCAGGAGAAGAACCTGGCCCCTGCCATCGGATCGGCGCAGTGCGCCGGCCACAGCGCGCCGGCTGTGGCGGCCATTGGAGGGTGAACCAACGGCAAAGGAAGACCTTTCTCTCTGTCTCTCTCTCTCACTGTCCACTCTGCCTGTCAAAAAAAATATATTTATTAAATGAATCAATTAATGAATGAATTAAATGAATCAATTAATGAATCAATTAAATGAATCAATTAAATGCCTGTCAAAAAATAAAAAATAAAAAATAAAAAAAGGAAGACCTTTCTCTCTGTCTCTCTCTCTCATTGTCCACTCTGCCTGTCAAAAAAAATATATTTATTAAATGAATCAGTGATTCAGTGAACTGATAAATTAATGAAGCATAGGTACATTATGAGCAACACTCTCACTAGAATTAGGTATTTTCAACTGACAACTGAAATAAAAGAAACATTTTCAAGCATACTACATACGTAATTTCACAAATTCTGGAAAAGAGTTTATAAAATGTGTGAATTATCTGGGGCTGGTGTTGCACAGTGGATTAAGCCACCTGCACCATCAGCATCCCACGTGGGCACTGGTTCAAGTCCCAGCTGCTGTGCTCCCAATCCAGCTCCCTACTAATGTGCCTGGGAAAGCAGCAGAAGATGGTCCAAGTACTTGGGCCCCTGCACAATGTGGGAGATCCAGATGGAGTTACAACTTCCTGGTTCCAGCCTGGCTCAGCCTCAGCCATTGTAACCAGAGGATGCAAAATCTTTGTCTCCCCTTTTCTCTGTCTCTGTCTCTGTCTCTGTCTCTCTCTGTAATTATGTAATTCAAATAAATAAATCTTTTCTTTTTATTTTATTTATTTATTTTTTTGACAGGCAGAGTGGACAGTGAGAGAGACAGAGAGAAAGGTCTTCCTTTTTTCCGTTGGTTCACCCTCCAATGGCCGCCACGGCCGGCTCACTGCGGCTGGCGTATTGCGCTGATCCGAAGCCAGGAGCCAGGTGCTTTTCCTGGTCTCCCATGCGGGTGCAGGGCCCAAGCACTTGGGCCATCCTCCACTGCACTCCCAGGCCATAGCAGAGAGCTGGCCTGGAAGAGGGGCAACCGGGACAGAATCTGACACCCCAATCAGGACTAGAACCCGGTGTGCCGGCGCCGCAGGGAGGAGGATTAGCCTATTGAGCCACGGTGCCGGCCCAATAAATCTTTTAAAAGTACATGAATTATCTATAGTCCCTCCATATGATGGATGATATATCCATTACAAATGTTTCCAGGGGCTGACGGTGTGGCACAGTAGGTTAATCCTATATAGGTGCCAGTTCTAGTCCTGGCTGCTTCTCTTCCAATCCAGCTCTCTGCTATGACCTGGGAAAGCAATAGAAGATGGCCCAAGTGCTTGGGCCCCTGCACCTGCGTGGGAGAGCAGGAGGAGGCACGTGGCTCTAGGCTTCGGAGACCAGGAGGAAGCACCTGGATTTAGGCTTTGGAGCGGCACAGCTCCAGCCATTGCAACCACTTGGGTCGTGAACCCACAGAAGGAAGACCTTTCTGTCTCTCCCTCTGGCTGTAACTCTACCTCTCAAATAAATAAATAGTCTTTTTTTAAAAAAAATGTTTCCAGGGGCCAGTGTTGTAGCACAGTAGGTTAAGCTGCCACCTGTGAGGCTGGCATCCTATGTGGGCACTGGTTCAAATCCTGGCTGCTCCACTTCTGATCCAGCTCCCTGCCAATGTGCCTGGGAAAGCAGCAGAAGATGGTCCAAATATGTGGGTCCCTGGCACTCACATGGGAAACCCAGATGTAGTTCCAGGTTCCTGGTTTCCAACTGATCCAACCACAGCTGTTATGATCATCTGGGGAGTGAACCAGTAGAGAGAAGATCTCTTTCTCTGCCTCTCCCTCTGTCACTCTGCCTTTCAAATAATAAACATAAATCTTTTAAAAAAATGTTAACAATAGTCTCTGTGTACTTGTTTTTTATATTATGAATGTCTACATTTCCAAATCTTATGCAAGACAGTCATATTATTTACAGAAAGTAGCCAGCATAGCGGCTCACTAGACTAATCCTCCGCCTGCAGCACCAGCACCCCAGGTTCTAGTCCCGGTTGGGGCGCCGAATTCTGTTCCGGTTGCCCCTCTTTCAGTCCAGCCCTCTGCTATGGCCTGGGAGTGCAGTGGAGGATGGGCCAAGTACTTGGGCCCTGCACCCCATAGGAGACCAGGAGAAGCACTTGGCTCCTGGCTTCGGATCGGCGCGGTGCACCGGCCACAGCACGCCGGCCGCAGCGGCCATTGGAGGGTGAACCAACGGAAAAGGAAGACCTTTCTCTCTGTCTCTCTCTCACACTGTCCACTCTGCCTGTCAAAAAAATAAAATAAAAAAAAAAAGAAAGTAAAAAGTTTAGTTTTAAAAAGCTGCCAAACTTGAATCTACTAATTCCAAAATTTTTTTTTTTTTTTTTTTTTTTTTTTTGACAGGCAGAGTGGACAGTGAGAGAGAGAGACAGAGAGAAAGGTCTTCCTTTTTGCCGTTGGTTCACCCTCCAATGGCTGCCGCGGCCAGCGCGCTGCGGCCGGCACACCGCGCTGATCCGATGGCAGGAGCCAGGAGCCGGGTGCTTTTCCTGGTCTCCCATGGGGTGCAGGGCCCAAGCACCTGGGCCATCCTCCACTGCACTCCCTGGCCACAGCAGAGGGCTGGCCTGGAAGAGGGGCAACCGGGACAGAATCCGGTGCCCCAACCGGGACTAGAACCCGGTGTGCCGGCGCCGCTAGGCGGAGGATTAGCCTAGTGAGCCGCGGCGCCGGCCCAAAATTTTTAACTTAAGAGAATGCACATGCATGTATTTCCTTCCTAAGTCAGAGAGATAGCAGGCCACGGGAAGACTTTGGTTCCAACAGTTCCTAGCACCAGCTACCAGAAACACTCTGAATAGTCCTAAACCAGAATGTAGAAATCAAGACACCTTAAAGTCAGTGAGGGGAAAATACAGGCGGTGAATAACTAGACATTTTGTATAGGGAAAGTCTGGTTCTTAGATTATGGCCCCTAAATAAAATAAATAAGCAAGGTAATGGGCTATGACAAATATAGAAATTAATGAAACAAATAATCTGATTTCAAGTAACTTAAAAGTAGAATAAATTGCTGGACTGTTTTTTTATTGTTATTTTTAGTTGACACTCTTGCTATTTGTACTATTTACTCAGAATAACAACAATTTTTTAAGATTTATTTATTTTTATTTGAAAGTCAGAGTTACAGAGAGAGAGGAGACACAGAGAGAGAGAGAGAGAGGGAGAGGTCCTCCATCTGATGGTTCACTCCCCAACTGGCTGCAACGGCCAGAGCTGCGCCAATCCAAAGCCAGGAGCCAGGAGCCTCTTCCAGGTCTCTCACGTGGGTACAGGGTCCAAGGACTTGGGCCAACTTTTTTTTTTTCCCCCATAGGTAGAGTTAGACAGAGAGAGAGAGTGAGACAGAGAGAAAGGTCTTCCTTCCGCTGGTTCACCCCCCAAATGGCCACCATGGCCAGCACCGAAGCTAGGAGCCAGATGCCTCCTCCTGGTCTCCCATGCAGGTGCAGGGCTCAAGCTTGGGCCATCCTCCACTGCCTTCCCAGGCCATAGCAGAGAGCTGGACTGGAAGAGGAGCAACCGGAACTGAACCGGCGCCCCAACCGGGACTAGAACACGGGGTGCCGGCGCTGCAGGCAGATGATTAGCCTAATGAGCCGCGGCGCCAGCCAGGCCAATTTCTACTGCCCTCCCAGGCCTTAGCAGAGAGCTGGATGGGAAGTGGAGCAGCTGGGTCTTGAACTGGCGCCATATGGGATGCCAGCATTTCAGGCCAGGGTGTTAACCCACTGTGCCACAGCACCTGCCCCCAAAGTTAAAATATTTAAAATGTGTTTGGAACATATTTTTCACTATTCTATAAGAATACTTTTCTTGTCAATGTTATATAGAGTAGATAAAAAAAATAAAACTACCATCATACAAACTAAGGATAAGCTGTTAGTAGTTTAATTATTCAGTATAATTACTCCTCATATAATTAAAAGTGAGTTTTACTCTTCTATAAACATTGAAGTCTACTTTACTTCTATAACAAAAATTTAAGTGACCACTTCTAAAAAGTCTCTAACTCTGCCTGTCAAAAACACACACACACACACACACACACACACACACACAAGTCATGCATGTGTATGCCTAAATTTTATATGCATAGGCCCACATATCCCCACAAATTAGCATCAAACAATAACTAAGATGTCTAAGATGTTAAATCCCTAAGAAATGAAACCTCGACTTTAACATTCTCTGAACTTCTCTTAATAACGAAGTTGTTCACCTTGAGTCTCTTTTATTAACAAATTATTCAAAAATGTTCAAAAGAAAGATTTAATACTCAAAATTACAAATGTACCCATGTTATTTTAAACTCTAAAAATCAATCAAACTGTTCAACTACAAAATTTACAGTGAAGATATCCTATTATGATATTTCTAAACAGTCAATAGATTAAAAAATTGCTGAGACACTTTTATTTTTTTCATTTTTAAAATAAACAACTCTATTTTTGTGGTTCTAAAAGACACCGGATTCAGCTACTTAGTCATGTGGAAACTTAACTTCCTTAATTTAATTTCCCAGGGCAGTTTAGGCTAAAAAAAAAAGACTGGAAGGATTATTTCTTGTTAATTCACAGTTTTCTATTTCCCCTTAAAATAAGTATGGTGAGATTTTGAAAGAACAGAGTAAATTAATATTTCAATATATTCAGTCTATTAGAATAATTTCTTTACATCTGTATGAGATGAGCCAAGGAAAAACATGATAAACAGTGCTTTTTAGCATAACCACAAGTGAGAAAACAAAAATCTACCACAAATGAGGAAACCACAATGAACTTTAAAAGTAACAGTTTCAATGCAAAATTCTAAATTATTCTCACTCAAAATCTCCATCTCAAAAAACTTCCCTGGTTTAAAAATAATTAATTAGAATTCATCTGTGTACACAGCATAACGTGAAGGGATGATTTGACCGTTATGCAGTATATTTCAATCCCCCCCTTTTTTTATTATTTTTGACAGATAGAGTTAGACAGTGAGAGAGAAAGGTCTTCCTTCTGTTGGTACACTCCCCAAATGGCTGCTATGGCCGGCGTGCTCCACTGATCAGAAGCCAGAAGCCAGGTGCTTCCTCCTGGTCTCCCATGCAGGAGCAAGCGCCCAAGAATTTAGGCCATCCTCCACTACCCTCCCAGGCCACAGCAGAGAGCTTGACTGGAAGAGGAGCAGCTGGGACTAGAACCGGGTGCCCACATAGGATGCCGGCACCACAAGCGGAGGATTAGCCAAGTGAGTCACGGCGCTGGCCCCTTCAATCCCTTTAGTATCTAAAATATCTGATTTTACTGCCACAGTGATATGCTAAAATTCTAATTTAGTCTACCTTCCGTTGGTATCACCAGAGCCTCAGTCAAGAAAAGCATTAAACAACATTCTTTGCAAGTTACAAATTGGGTTCCTTTTTCAAATGTTTATTATTTATTTGAAAAACACGGTGTAAAGAGAGAGAGAGAGAGATCTTTGATCCACTGTTTCACTCCCCAAATGCCCACACTAGCCAGGGCTGAAGCAAGGAGCCTGGAATTCTATCCAGGCCTCCCACATGGGTGGCAGGAACTCAAGTACTTGAGCCATCTTCAGTTGCCTCCCAGGATGTGCACTAATGGGAAGTTCAAGAGGAGGTGGGTAGCCAGGACTAGAACCAGGCATTCTAATATAGGATGCACGCATCACAAGCAGAAGCTCAATCCACTGTGCCACAACACTGCCCCACAAATTATTTTCTAGATGGTGTTTATGGTATATTTCTTAAAACAAGAAATTACTAAATCATTCTTCACGGAGTTTTGTTTTGTTTGTTTGTTTTTTAAGATTTACTTATTTATGGCCGGCGCCGCGGCTCACTAGGCTAATCCTCCGCCTTGCAGCGCCGGCACACCGGGTTCTAGTCCTGGTCAGGGTGCCGGATTCTGTCCCAGTTGCCCCTCTTCCAGGACAGCTCTCTGCTGTGGCCAGGGAGTACAGTGGAGGATGGCCCAAGTGCTTGGACCCTGCACCCCATGGGAGACCAGGATAAGTACCTGGCTCCTGCCATCGGATCAGCACGGTGCGCCAGCCACAGCGCGCCAGCCGTGGTGGCCACTGGAGGGTGAACCAACGCCAAAGGAAGACCTTTCTCTCTGTCTCTCTCACTGTCCACTCCGCCTGTCAAAAAAAAAGACAACAAGATTTACTTTATTTTATTTTGTACGTCACAGTTACAGATAAAGAGAGAGAGAAACAGATCTTCCTTCCACTGGTTCACGCCCCAGATAGCCACAATGGCCAGAGTTGGGCCAGGCCAAAGCCAAGAGCCAAGAGCTTCTTCTAGGTCTCCTACATAGGTGACAGAGGCCCAAACACTGAGGCCATCTTCTGCTGCTTTTCCTAGGTGCATTAAGAGAGCTGGATCAGAAACGGCAAATATGAACAAAGGAACAATGATAATTTATGTGAATTGCCACTTTCAGAGCTAATGGTTAGGCAAGGTAATTGGCACTTGGAAATTAGATGATTTTAAATATCCCTTGTCCTAACTGTTGAGGAACATTTGTTTTTCTTCATAATATTTGTTGAACTCTTTACTTAGTGTAGGGTTAATCTTAGGAGTATAAAGTTAATTGAAAATCTGAAAAAAACAAAAGTTAACTGAAAATCCCTCTTTGTAAAAAATAATAATGGGAGGCCAGCACCGCGGCTCACTAGGCTAATCCTCCGCCTTGCGGCGCTGGCACCCAGGGTTCTAGTCCCGGTCGGGGTGCCAGATTCTGTCCCGGTTGCCCCTCTTGCAGGCCAGCTCTCTGCTGTGGCCAGGGAGTGCAGTGGAGGATGGCCCAGGTGCTTGGGCCCTGCACCCCATGGGAGACCAGAAGAAGCACCTGGTTCCTGGCTTCGGATCCGCGCAGCGCGCCGGCCGTAGCGGCCATCTGGGGGGTGAACCAGCGGAAGGAAGACCTTTCTCTCTGTCTCACTAACTCTGCCTGTCAAAAATAAATAAATAAAAAAGAAGAAGAATGGGAATATCAGAGGGAGGAAAAAGAAGGGTGGAAATGCAGGTGGGAGGGAGGGTTGGCTGGGAAGAATCACTGTGTTCCTAAATTTGTGTATATGAAATTTGTATACCTTAAATAAAAGGTTTCTAGATAAAAAGAAAAAAAATTGCAAAAGGAACAACAACACAATAAAGGCAATACATGTATGTTCAGAAACTGGCTTTAAAAGAGGAATGAAGGGCTGAGAAGAAAGACACTAATAAGATAGTTTTGCCCCAAGGATACATCTTACAAGCATTCTTAGGTCTCCTTAGGATTCCCCAGTTACCTATGTTGACCACTGACTGTTTCAATGCATAGCTATGTTTTAAAGAAGCCCCAAATATAATATAATATTTAGGCATTCTTCTCTTAACTCTAAAAAAGTAAAACACATACAGAGGAAAGTAAGTATTGAGCTGACACACATTTACCCTCACATATGACTTCTCCAAAGGTCCTCACACGTGACTGTAGCACGAACCTCCACTTGTGAAGCACCGCATTTCACATGTTCACCAGCTGTGCAGTCACCATGACAATCACCCTAAATGGGATAGAAGGAGCTTAAATGACCTCACTTACTTGAAGACCAAAGAATTACTAATGACGTCTTAAGTCTTGATGATATTAGCACTAAGAACATAATACTAAGGTTTGATAAATACATTTTAATTATGTCAGAATCTTAGTAGCTTCTATATTATAATAAATATTTTGTTTTCATCCAGTTTCCCGGTTCATAACTCCCTCCCAAAGGCAGCCGACAGAATCTGGAATTTCTTTTCCCAAAGGCAAATCATAGAAACATTAACCTTCCCTGCCATTCTCTGACCTACCTTGTCCAGGGATAGACAAGATCTCATTTCAGAATGTGCCATGCCCCATAACCTGAAGGAAAAATGCTGCACAAAGGAGCCAAGAACAATCTGAGCAGACAGGCCTTGCTGGGTTTCTCCAGCTAGTCTACTAGCAATCACGCACATGCAATAAACCTCCATGAAAACTCAAAAGGACAGGGTTTGGAAAGCTTCCACAGAGCCCACCACATGGAGGTTCCCGGAGGGTGGCTGGCCTGGTGAGGATGCACCATAACCCTTCCCTCATACCTCTCACTCTGAGTATCTCTTCATCTGGATCCTTTGTAATATCCTTTATAACAAACCAGTAAAGGTACTTTCCTGAGTTCTGTGAGCTGCTCAGGAAAATTAACTGAACCTAAGGAGGGCAACCCCCACTTATAACTGGAGTCAGTCAGAAGCTCAGGTAAGACAACATGGGGCTGTGGCTGGCATCTGGAGTCAGGGGTCAGGGAGTAGTCTTGGGGACCGAGCCCTTGACCTGTGGGATCTCCAAGTAGATGGTGTCTACATTAAATTAGACAACAGCCAGCTGGTGTCTGCTGTGGCTGCACTCCTTATGACTGGCAGGTAAAACTACCCCTACACATACACACTTTTGGAGGCCACAGATATTTTGTGTGAATTATGGGGGTGTGAGGACAGAAGAACAGAAATCTGGTTTTTCCAACACAGACTCCTAATGAGCCCAAGGTAATTACAAGTCTTCATAATTTAAAATGCAACTCCCTGGGGCCGATGCTGTAGTGCAGCAGGTTAAAGCCCCAGCCTGCAGGGCTGGCATCCCACATGGGCACCAGTTCGAGTCTCGGCAACTCCACTTCCGATCCAGCTCTGCAATGGCCTGGGAAAGCAGTAGAATATGGCCTAAGTCCTTGGGCCCCTGCACCCTCGTAGGAGACCCAGAATAAGCTCCTAGCTCCTAGTTTGGTTCATCTCAGCTCTGGCCATTGCAGTCATTTGGAAAGTGAACCAGAGGAATGGAAGCCCGGCCTCTCTCTCTCTCTCTCTCTCTATCTCTGTCTTCCAAATAAATAAAATCATTTTTAAATAAATAAAATAAAATAAAATGCAACTCCCCAAGCCGTTAAATATGCAATCTACCTATAAGAAGTAACACAGTGGGAAAAATTGTCTAACCAACAAAATATAATTAAACCCTACTAGAACTGAAGGATGTCAGAATCAGGATTGAAAGAGAACTTACAGGGGCCAGTGCTGTGGCTCAGCAGGTTAAAGCCCTGGCCTGAAGCACCACCGGCATCCCATGTGGGCACCGGGTTCTAGTCTCAGCCGCTCCTCTTCCAATCCAACTCTCTGCTATGGCCTGGGATAGCAGTGGAGGATGGCCCAAGTCCTTGGACCCTGCACCCACATAGGAGACCCAGATGAAGTTCCTGGCTTCTGGCTTCGGATCGGCGCAGCTCCAGCCGTTGCGGCCATCTGGAGAATGGACCAGCAGATGGAAGACCTCTCTCTCTGTCTCTACCTCTCTCTCTAACTCTGTAACTCTCTTTCAAATAAATAAAATAAATATTAAAAAAAGGGGGGGGCGACTCACAAAGCATCTACTAACTAGTAAGTATTTTATTTTTTTAATTTTGACAGGCAGAGTTAGACAGTGAGAGAGAAAGACAGAAAGGTCTTCCTTCCACTGGTTCACCCCCCAAATGGCTGCTAAGGCTGGCGCACTGCGCCAATCCAAAGCCAGAAGCCAGGTGCTTCCTCCTGGTCTCCCATGCAGGTGCAGGGCCCAAGCACTTGGGCCATCCTCCACTGCCCTCCCAGGCCACAGCAGAGAGCTGGACTGGAAGAGGAGCAACCAGGACAGAATCCGGCGCCCCAACCAGGACTAGAACCCGCGGTGCCGGCACCGCAGGTGGCGGATTAGCCTGGTGAGCCATGGTGCCGGCCAACTAACCAGTAAGTATTAACAGCAGTTCTTGACCATTGTCTCATACAGTATGCTACAAGAGGCCTGTGAAATCCCCTAACCAGTGTTACATGGGTGGAGAGGAATAGTGAAAATAAAGCATGTAAATTCAAAAGACTGAAAAAAGTGCCACTCCTAATCCAAGAAATCAGATATGCTCTTGGTTCAGATTCACTAACCACTATTTGTTAATCTGGTTCAACTACCCATCATTATCCACAGTAATAAGAGACTTTACAATATCTCTGCCAAAGGCATCCATCAGCCTCCCACTGAACAATTCTAGAATAGGGAGCTCACTACTTTCTGGGTATTGTACTAAGTTGAAAATAAATTCAAACATTCTTAATTTTTCAAGTTTACTTATTTTTTCTTTATTTGAAAGGTAAAATGAGAAACAGAGAGAGATCTTCCATTCACTGATTCACTCCCCAAATGCTCACAACAGCTGGGCTGAGCCAGGCTGAAGCCGGGATCCAGGACTCCATCCAGGTCTCCCATGGGAGTTGCAGGGACTCAAGAACTTGAGCCATCACTGTCTGCCACTAAGGGTGAAGATTAGCAGAAAGCTGGATGGGAAGCAGAGGCAGGATTGACCCCAGGCACTCCGATACACACTGCAGGCATTCCAAACAGCACATTACCCCCACTGCCCCACAATATTCGCCATTCGATAATGTTTTTTTTTAATATTTTTATGTATTTATTTATTTGACAGGTAGAGTTACAGACAGTGAAGGGGAGAGACAGAGAGAGAGGTCTTCCTTCCATTGGTTCACTCCCCAAATGGCCACAATGGCCAGAGCTGTGCCGATCCGAAGCCAGGAGCCAGGAGCTTCTAGGTCTCCCATGCAGATACAGGGGCCCAACACCTTGGGCCATCTTCTACTGCTTTCCCAGGCCACAGCAGAGAGCTGGATTGGAAGAGGAGCAGCCGGGACTAGAACCGGTGCCTATTTGGGATGCCGGCACCACAGGCGGAGGATTAACCTACTGAGCCATGGTACCGGCCCCTGGCTAATGTTTTAAACTGTTTATTCACCAACATAACTGTTCTAGAGTATCCATATCAGCTACATAATGCCTGCTAATTTTTTTTTTTGACAGGTAGAGATATAGACAGTGAGAGAGAGAGACAGAGAGAAAGGTCTTCCTTCTGCTGGTTCACTCCCCAAATGGCCGCTATGGCCGGTGCTGTGCCGATCCGAAGCCAGGAGCCAGGAGCCAGGTGCTTCTTCCTGGTCTCCCATGTGGGTGCAGGGGCCTAAGCACTTGGGCCACCCTCCACTGTCTTCCCAGGCCACAACAGAGAGCTAGACTGGAAGAGGAGCAACCGGGACTAGAACCCGGTGCCCACATGTGATGCCAGTGCCGCAGGCAGAGGATTAACCAAGTGAGCCACGGTGCTGGCCGATGCCTGCTAATTTTAACAACTACACTTGCTAGAAAGATATTTTATAGAAGGGCCAGCGCTGTGGCATAACGGGTAAAGCTGCTGCCTGCAGTTCAAGCATCCCATATGGGCATCAGTTTGAGTCCCGGCTGCTCCACTTCCGATCCAGCTCTCTGCTGTGGCCTGGGAAAGCAGTAGATGATGGCCCAAATCCTTGGGCCCCTGCACCCACGTGGGAGACCCAGAAGACGCTCCTGGCTCCTGGCTTCAGATCAGCCCAGCTTCGGCTGTTGTGGCCATTGGGGAGTGAATCAGTGGATGGAAGACCTCTCTCTCTGCCTCTCCTTCTCTCTCTGTGTAACTCTTTCAAAAAAATAAATAAAGCTTAAAAAAAAGAAAGATATTTTATGGAACCATAATTCTGTCTTCCTATATTAATTTCTACTAATTGGTGCTGCTTGTGCCCTCTGAAACTAATCCTTCCTCAGTTTGTCACACTTCCCAATTCCACAATCTTTTCTGCATCAATATCACCATTTCCTCCAACCAATCAGAAGACTGTAGGAGTGGTATGAGGACCTGTCAAGGTACTCATAAAAAAATTAGAAACAAGGATAACAAGCAACCAACTGAGATGGTAGAATAGCAACAGACAACAAATACATGAATGTGCAAATGGCCACATAGAAGAGAAGAGACTATGACTCTCAGATTTCAGGGCTGATGTCAGGGTGGCAATAGCTTCAGCCACAGAAACAAGGAACCCAAGTGGATAAGATTAAAGTGAAGATGGGGAATTCAATTTGACAAATAGTGCTTTTGGGGTTTGTAATTAAGTAAATAGGGTACAATCTTTTCCAAATCCCAAGCTACTCTTGCCAAGAAAAAGGGGTAACATTATTGAAGTTAATGAACTACATGTGTTTTAAACAAAAAAATCACATTTATTCATCAAGCATTAGAGATATCATAAGCCGTGACACTCAGTTCCTGCCCTCATTAAGCTTACATTCTAATTAACAAAATGTACGTAACTAACGATACACAAAGGCTAAATATGGTAAGAGATATAAAGTGTTATAACTATTATGAAAAATATTTTTCCCTTTTCAATGAGAATATCCACACATAAATAATGTCACAGTATAAAATACAATCACAACTAGTATTCTTGAAATACACAAAGGACAAGGACATACAAATAACATAAATCTTTTTTTTTCTGGGAATAAATACAAGAAACACTAGACGTGTTACTTACAAATAAGTTGAAGTATCATGAATGAGTTAAAGTATCTTCAACAATTAAGCTATTGTTAAAGAATGATGCTTGAATTGTATCATCAGTCAAAAGAGCATTG